TTATCATTGGTAAGTCAGGGACAGCATCAAAGTTCTACTTGCATTGGAAATTATTGTTGTATGTAATTAGAGTCTCAATTCAACCGATGATGGGTGGGGAGAGTGGCAAATAAAAATTATTTGATCTCCAGAAGATTAGGAGATCAGGAACCATTTGGGTGCATATAGAAGGTACAATAAATATCAAGGCTAGATGGTATCTTAAAAGTGATAAACCTCACCAACACATTTGTGAGAATTACCTATAAATTTTGAAACAAAAAATAGGGTAAACTGACAGGACTTTCGTATCTGTGTTTTATAAGTAAAGAGTAAAGACAATTTGTAAACATATATCTATCATTTTTAAGAGGAAAATTTATATTTAAACCCAAAATAACATCACAGTTCTCTGAATATTTAAGTGAATATATTTACATTTGTGGGGGGAAAAAAAACTTCCCTAAATATTCCTTACTTTTTTCAAACTTTATCAGGGACCAGAACAAGTTTGTGGACAGGCGTAACGTATTATAAGAGGTTGGACAAACTCCTTCCAAAAACCACCTTGTCCTTTGGAAAGCTCCATTAAAAAGTTCTTCTATTAGCTGACCCTGCTTCCCCCAAGTTCCAAACATAATCTAATTCTTCCATGCTGCATAAACTGAAATTTTCACAATACCCCTTCAAGCCACTTTGAACAAGTTTAATCTTTCTGTATGTTTCCTGAGTTTGATTTTCAATATCTGCTAACACTATCAGTCATTTATTTGATATTACCATGAGAATTTGTGTTAATACTAGAGTCTTCTTATTGTACTACTTTTGAGAATCTTTTTTCCTTTCCTCATAACTCTTACCTCTTTTATTCCCCAAAACCAGAGGCAAGAAGTGGAACAAGAAAGAAGGTGGAGCAAAAGCAGGTCTTTTCTGCAAGACTCTGGATATGGACTCGTTTCTTAAAATTATCTCAAGTGGCTTCCTCCCTTACCCAGTCAACCTGAAATCTAGGAACTCAAGCTGTATTACAGAGTTAAGGGATGATGGGTAATTAAAACTGTAATCCACCTAAACAGAAATATGACAGAAACATTAGTCTACTGATATGGGGTTAAGTCTTGTTTCAGGACAAAAAGTTATAGAAGGCGCCTCCATGCCTCTGTATTTGTAGAGGATATAGAATTTCCCATTGTGTTCTCCAGTCCTGACTCTACACCCCAAACAACAAATGGGTAGTAAGTAGGCGAAAGAACAGTAAATCCTTTGTTTTCACTTTAACTCCTGAATTTGTTACCTTTTTGCTTTAGTAGAAACATATCTTTTTTAGGAGATTTGGGAATTGGCTAACATTTTTGTCAATTGTTAGCCAATTTAGGAGATTTGGGAACTGGCCAGCAATTGTTAGCCAGTTCCCAAATCTCCTAAAAAAGATATGTTTCTACTAAAGCAAAGTGTGCTTGTGTAAGCAAGGCAACTTTTTAGGGTCATGAAATCCCTGCTACTAAATTATTTGGGATATATTGGCAATGATGGAAGCTTTTTAAAAAATTCTTTCATTGCTATGTATTTGACAGGACCCTGGGGAAAAAAACAGGCTTGAATTGAATTCTTTTCCAGTCGAAAATTACAGACATTTAAACCAAGAAAATCTCACAGAGTTTTTCTAGTCCAAGATCTCTCACAATTAAAGATTTACTTTTGATCTTTGAGTTAGTCATTCAATCTTCACTGAACTACTAAAAGAAACAGTGATAACAACTTCACTGTTTTCCAGAAAGTCCAATCTGTTTTTCTGGATGCAATGTTTAGGAAAAATAAATCCTTATAAGTAATACAGCTAACTCCTTTTCATGTGTTATTGTTCTTTTATTCTACAAATCATCTTCCCTGCAGAACTTGAAACTAACAGTCCTACTTAACCTATCTCCTCTACATATTTCTATTACTAATCCAATTTTGTCTTCTTTTCAGATCAAATATCCTCCTTCTACATATTCACCAATCTGCCCATAAATGCCCCTTTTAAAGTATGAGATTCTGAATTGAAGGACATTTCAAGCCTGTTTTTCTCTACTTCAAATACGCCAGAATTTTCCATAGGTGTATTAAGCCTCTATGTATGTGACTATGTATTACCATAACACTTAGCTCACATACCCACCCATAAACTTAGAGCAATAGAGTCTTGGATGTCGGGGCCATCTTCAACATTTTTTGTTGCAGCATTCTGAAATTATATCATCCTAATAGTGACTTCTAAGGAAGAAAAATAGGACTAACATTTTTTAAATGTTGAGAATCACAAATAAATTAAAGAAGCTATTAATGCTCACTGTTAATTTCTTCTCTTGAAATCCAACCTCGTAGGCAAACATTAGACTTTTCTTTCCTTGAACTATGTATAAGCTGACAAGCCTCTCTCCGATAGCAAAAACTTGACTTTTTGATTTCATATTCTCCCTTATTTCTAACTCATTCTTTCCGTGGAATCTTAGGTAAACATTTTTTTTTTCATGGAGGCATCTTCTATATTATGGAAATCTGAACAATTGATAAAAAACATCCTTAAAGGCAATGATGGAAAATGACTTACTTGGAAAACATGTTAATACGTAATTTCTAAAGACCCAGTTCTGGCTACAGCACTATCATTTGCTATATGAAGCTGCACAGGCTGAATTCACTGCTCTGAGATTCAGTTTATTCATCTAAAATGTCTTATCCGCATTATTCACCTAGTTGGGATTGTTTTGAACCCCAACTGAAGCTAAAACGTGTCAATACATCATAATGCTAAAGCACTTTTTAATTCTTGAAATTGTTCTTAATAAACAGTATAGATTTGACTTGTTTAAACTGTTATAGAGTGAAAACTATATGTGTGTTTCACTAAAGGTTTGAGGAAAAAGATAATTTCAGTATTTCCCACTATCAAAGCCTCCCATTTCAGAAGGCATTTGGCTCAAAATATTGAAATTTCAAAAGTTGGGTGAAAACTTGGATCACTATTTTCTTATTTACATGGGTAGGGACCTCCCTTGTGGCTGCCACGCTGGTGGTAGAAGCCAAGGAGTTTTCCATGATTGCCTTTCATGTATATTTACTTAGCTCCGAAATATCTTACAGGCAGAATTTTCTTCTGTATTTATATTAGATTACACTTAACTCTTATAATATCAAACCACAGCACTTTTTTTATATTGGATGGACAGTAAGACAGATTTCTAATAGAATTTTACTTGACAATGACTAAGAATACTGATCAAAATTTATAAGCTTCCAGAAGTATTTTTAATTAAATTACACCTTTTAGTATGTTTTCTTTTCACTAGCTCTTAAATTTATGCTTAAAATTTTTAAAATTGATAACTAATGCCATTCCCCTGGATATTTTAAAAATTCTCAGTTACAAAGCAATGTTTAACAAATCAAAAATCAAGATTTTCATAAGTTTTTTAAATAAAATCCTGCATTCAACAAAGCCACTAAAAAATTGCTTTTGAAAAATCACAGCATCTAATTTCAGCCCTCTCAAATCACATATTCCTAATCACAACAGCCCTCAGAATGGGCAGGTATCCTCTGTTTAAATGCTACCAGAGGCTGAAAGTTTACAACACTGTGATATCCACTCCACTATTACATATTATTTATACTTCATCTTCTTTATATTTCGTCAAAACCCATTGAAAACTGCTTATTTTTCCTATTTCTATCCTGAAAGCTAGAATAAATGAGTCTTAGCTTTCATTTTAATAGTGTTTCTAAGTCTTGTTTTAAAATCTTAGTTTCAGATACATTTTTAGAACTCTACTATGACTCCAATAAAATGGAAATGCAAAATATTATTATCTTCCTACTTATGTTTTCATTGAACAAAATCATTGCTGGCTAATGAGTGGCTGGTACAATAAAGCCTTGGTTGAATTTCCAGCCCATGCTGGACACCCTGGGGTTCTTCTGCACTGCACTTATCACATGGGAATTTGTCTTTTCTTCTAGATGCCAGCTTCATGAAATCAAGAGTTTTGTCTATTGCATTCATTGTTATATCCTTAGTATGATGCCTGCATCAGAGTGACAAATATTTTTCAAATAATGATTAAATACATGCACGTATGACTGATTCATGGACATATGATTACATGCATAACTGAATACAAAAGTAAATAGACTCTGGAGTCTATGCATTATGAAGATACCAATTTTCACATTTCTACTTTAAAATCTATGCTACAAGAGCCTAAGAATTATTTTTTTCTGCTTTCTTTCTGGGACCTGGTCAGTAAATCTCAGTGTCCTGGGAGAGCAGGTTGTCCAAGGGCATGACTCTTTTCTTGGTTCTTATTTTCAGGTTTCTCATTAAGCTGTGAGAAGACAGTGTAAAATCCACAGATAGCCCTCAGAAGTGTAAAATATATAACCTAGGCCTCCAAGTGCCGTCAAAGAGGCATGTGGCTTACATTGTTGAATGTGGACGCAGCAGCCATGGTTGTGTACCCTCATGTGACTAAGACAGATATTTGCTAAACCTGATAGATTTTCAGAATCATGCTTGCCGTAAGTCCATAAGATGATCAAGGTCAGTGGACATGTATGTGTCCTTTAAGTAAAGGTATACTTGTCCAAGAGGGTAATTTCATTTTTGATCTATTTTGAGCATAATATCTGGGGAAGATTTTTGCAGCTGTGTGACAAAATTATTGACAGTAGTAGGCAGAAAGTCCAGGGGCAGGACTGTTGCTATGGCCCAAAAATTAGAGGGACAAGAGATGAAGGATGACTGGGATACAGAAAAGGGTAGGGTCCAAGTCGATCTGAGAGATCTGGCAGAGAAAGGCCTGTAGGACTTCTAATCAGCTGAGTATGAGATTCAGAGTGAAAGGAGTTGAGAGATTCAAAGGTGGTTCAATTAAGATGCAGGCAGAAGCCATTTTATATTAAATAAGTGTTAAAGATTAATCAGAAGGCTAATTTATTAGATGTTTTTCTGCTTCTTTTCCTAAAATGAACATAATTCATTTAAATAGAGCAATTAGTAGTTTTATTTGATGGTTATGATGAGCCCTTTTAACAAAGTCCCATTTTTAAATAGCATCATTGAATAAACTATCATGCTGTTCTCAGTGATTTCATTAGCTACTCCTTCTGGAAGGAAGACAAGCTGCTCAGACCCCATGCTACACTGAAGTTACTACACCTTCCTGGCAGTAGCCTGCCCTAATTAAATATCATTAGGCAACCTACTGAGTGTTAGTGTTACAAACAGCCTTGTAAAGTGGTGTAAGCATCACAGAGGAAAGAACTCTCCTTTACTTGAAATCCAAACGTAGCATAGATAAGTCTTGGGCTATGGTAGGTTTTATGCTTCAAGGAAGGCAACATAAACAATTACAGGAACTCTTGGTCATGAATTTTATGACACAGGTAATAGAAAATGGCAAGTGCAATTGTAGTAATGCCAAGACAGATCTAAGCCTAGCAATGGTGGAAACAAACAAACAAACAAAAAATGGAAATTCTCTGTTTAACCTGTCTTTGCCTATTGGTGTTCACTACACATATACAAATGATCAGCATGCTTTTAAAATGTTTGCTCTTTTCTAAACCTATGCAATATACATGAATATAGTATACATACTTGTATGTGTATATAAATAAATGTCTACATATGTGTGTAAATGTATATGCATATATACATACATGCTTGTGTATGAATGGAGTATTTCTGACATCAGGTATAAGCAACAGTGTTCATCAGCATTCATTTTTGGGAAGTGGGACACAACACCAGAACAAAGGGATGCCTTGACGGTGGATGTGATACTCATCTGTGGTATTAAAACATTTTATAAAAAGCATGTGCCATTTTTACAACTAAAAAACCCCTAAATATTATTAATAAAATTGACATGTAATAAAAATAAAGATGCTGTGTTATGTTTTTTAAGTCATGAATATTATGAGGGTTCTAGTAAATAAATAAATTTCAGAAATTTGTTAGGCAAAGGGACTCTCACGAGGTCCAAATGAAAATGAAGTGATGTTGAGGAGCTCCTAGCGCAGGTAGATCTGCCAAAGTGGCCATTCTGAAAGGATATGGAGCAACAGGTATGTACGGCTTTCCATCAGTCATTACTAATTTCCATCACTGTCCATTTGCCAGCTAAATTCTGTTTCAAAACTTGCATTGGTCTTTGGTTATCACATCTACAGAGGAAACATAAACTCTGAAAGCAAAATTCCTGTCATGGTATTTATTTCATTCTTGGCTTACTAATCTTCTCTCTTATTCTTTATGAAGTCCTTGAATATGACTGTGTTCTATTTTGTTAAATGCACAATATTAAAATATAAGCTTGCAAAAATGACTACCTTTCAGGTTATAGAATGTTGTCTTTTAATAACTCTTCATTTTCCATTCCTCTATCAACCTCATCTAAAAATGGAATCTCGAAGCAGTCAGTGCCATGACACAAAGAAACAAACACAGAGGAGTCAGCCAAGCTAGCTGCCTCTTCAGTGCTGCCTCAGTAGGCTTTGTAGAAATGATATTTCTATAGGCGCATATTTTTATCTCTGTTAAAGTTATGTGGCTCTTCAGACCAGGACTAGATCACTTACTTTTCTACTTCCTGATAGCCTATTAGTAGGGATACAGTATACTTAAGCTGAGATGGAAACTCCTAGACCATAAGGCCTTAGCTCTTTTTAAAGCCCAGGACCAATTTTTAAAACATGCTACAGGAAGTGGTTTAATGTTGAAGCCATTAAACGTGTGGTTATTCTGCTCACTTTAATTTGGAAATCCCAAGTCCTAGTGGTACTTGCTTTTTTCAAAGCGATATATCAAATATTGGTCTCCATGAATAACACAGGACTCTAAAGCCTTTTTTTTTTTTTTTTTTTTTTTTGGTTTGAAACAATTTCCAAATGCATCAGGAATCTTATAGTACTAACTCATCATTTTCCATACCACAGATTTATGTCTTCAATAGGAGCTATTTAGAAATTGGCCCATAGCCACCTGTACCCTTAATTTTCTCTGGGCTACTTGGAAGTATTTACAGAGAAATGTGAGACAGTAGTTGATGAAAACAGAGTTCTTCATCCCAGCAGTAACAGCTAGATAACTGACTGGCCAAACATTTGGCCCAAACCAGGGAATGGAAGATGCCATTCAAAGCCAGATTCCAGTTTGCTTTAAGGATTATATTTCTGTCATCACATTTCCTTGAAAGTCCCACCAACTAAAAATCCCCCAGCAAAGCCCAATGATTAAATTCTCCTGGAGCATATTTTTCCAGCTTCTGGAAACAATCTGCTGCAGTGTCTCCTGTAACATCCAAAGGATAGTTCCATTTCTGAGGCTGATATATGGAAGTAGATTACTCACAACCTAATCCATCCTCCCACCAACAATTTGATTTTGAAATGACTATGGAGAGACTGTGGTAATAAAATCCCCATCCACTGAAAGGCTGTTCTTATTTAATATAGCACATCATAGCCGTACTTTCAAAATGATGATATGTTACCGAAATGTGACTCAGATAAGCAAAATGTCACCATTAGACCTTTAAATTAAATGTAGAGACACTATCATTCATGGTCATATGTAGAAACATTAGGGAAGCACTATGCTGTGTCCAAGGACAAAATGAAAATAAGCTCAGGACACATCAGATTTCGCCAAAAGCAAAATCCTTGGACGCCCACTTTTATTTGTGACTTACCCCAAGTCAAGTAGATATTCGGACAGAAAGACAGACATTTTCTTTTGATATTTTAGGTGTCACAGAGTCCCTAACAGAGGTACCTGTAAGTACCATTTGATCCGTGGCAGGTTTAGATGTTACAATTCTAACTATCCGACAGACATTTCTGGCTAGATTCCCATGGTAGTTTGCACTAAGGACTTTCTGAAAGGGGAAAATAAAGTAGATAAAATAATATATTAGACTACCCCATGCATAGAAAATGGGGTTATCAAGTACGACCTTTGGACCTGACAAATAATAGTTGAAGCATCCTTCTGAATGATCTGGGCATCCCATAAATCTGGCAGTGGAACTCATACAATAAACCTTTGTCCTTGGGTCAAGGATTACTTGGAGTAATAAAAACCAAAAACCTAAAAGAAAGACCTAAAATGGGGCTCCTCTCACCACTGTATCCAACAGTCTATAGTTATTAGCCTTTGTGCAACATCCCAATGACTGTTTTCTACTTCAGTGACATATGTTGACATATGTTGCTACTTTTGCTTTTGCTTTTGTTTTTTTCAAGTCAATTAGGGTGCTTTCTATTATCACTCAACAAAGTTTAGAAGTAAACATTGTTAGAGTGCTCCATTTCCTGTAACCACAGTTCCCACACATGATTATCTCCTCTGCAATTTAAACAGCACTTAAAATTGAGTGGTTCTGCAGACTAGCTGTGGGCCTCTGTTTAATCCTTTGCTCATCTTCTATTGCAGCAAAAGGCAAAGATGGCTACACATAGGCAGTACGGAGCTGTACAGACAGCCCAAGCTGAACCAGTCCTGCATGGCTATTGGCTACAGCCCAGCAGCCTGGGCTGACCCCTGGGTTACCTCTCTGAGGTACCTCCAAGCACAGACATCTCCCATGCCACCTCACCATTCCTCAAAAATATAGCACACAAGTTGACATTATCCATGTGGCACTTCCCAGCTCCTATATAATGAAACGGAGGGTTGGGGGGTGGTGGGGACATGCAGAGAGAGTCACTAAATAGTCTTGATATATTTAGTCTTGGAAATGGAAGTGGTTTTACAGTTATATTTCTGCAGGACATTCAGAGGGTTTTAGAAGGCCTTCAGACAATCTTGTGGTCTTCCAAGACTGAATGTAAAGAGAAGAGATAATATATTTTTTTAAAGTTAATGGGTAGTTACAGTAGAATTGTATGGTACAGGGAAAAAAAAATCAATGCATGGGGGAGGATGGAGCAGTGCCGTTTATACGAACATCCTTTGAATCTTTAAAATAAATTATACAGGTGAACACAGAAGTTCATGCTACTTGCTGGAAGCAATAAGGATCAAATTTTGTGGAACTCGTACTGTATTCCACAAATCTCCAGGTATCCTGCCTCCTTCTCAATGGGCTATCATGTTCTGTTGTACATCTTGGTAGCCCTTAAAAACGAGTGGCATGGTCTCAGGTAGATTCTTGCAGGAGAGAGACAGATATATGAATTCCATCAGCTTCTTCCAGGGGAGCTGCCCAATCGCAGGGAGGGCAGATGTGATACGCTTGCTCACGTTCTCTTTGCCTGAATACCAGGGTCAAACAGCAGTTTCCAGGTCCTCATGGCCAATGACCTTATAGTTCTGACGGCTTTCTAGGTAAGCAGCCAAGTCTGGGTCCCCAGCCTGCTGTGCTCTCTCTTGAGGTGTCTTACCCTATACGTAAATAACGGAAAGAGAGAGAGAGAGAGAAAGAAAGAGAGAGAGAGAGAGAGACAAGTACTAGTTATGAAATACAAAAACAAAACAAAACAAAACAAAAACCACAGAAACAGAGCTACCCAAAGATACTTGCTAGTAAGGATCCTTTCACGTTTGGTGTTTTAGAATTTACAAGACACTTTCAAATCTATTGTTTTATATGAGCATTAAATTCAACATGTGCGATTGGTAAATTAAAGGGCAAGAGTTTATCACTTTTGATGGGTGGGGTTTATACTAGGGAAACAGAAGTTCACAGAGGTTAACGGTACACAGGAGGAAACAGTGGGATAAAGTGAGTTTTGAAACCCAGAGCCTTTCTGGAAGATAGGGAGATAGAAATTACTGAATTTAAAAAACACGGAGGCAGGCATTTAGATTTCTAGTTTAGGACTCTTTCTATTATTCTAAACTTGGGAAATGAACATGCAGAAACTAAAAGGAAGGGATAGTCATAAAACATTTGAAAGGTTTCTTTGTTGGTTTCAGACTTCAGTGAAGTTCTCCCCAATTTATAGCTATTTCATCTCTCTGAAAACTAAGCTAGTTTCTCAATACAAAAGAGGTAGATATTGATTAAAGAAATCTTAGAAAACTTGAAAACCACAAAGAAGACAAGGAATATCCCTAATCATTCCACCAAACTAAGATAACCACTACTAACCTTCCATTGATAACTAGCTTTTGTCTTTTATACGCCTCTATACATATTTTTATTTAAAAAAAACCACAACTTATTTATGTACTGTTTTACAAACTTTCTTAGTAATATATCATAAATTTTTGTCATTAATTTTTTACATCAACATTTTAAATAGTCATATAATTTCTTACAGACTACTATGCCTTTTGTACATTTGTATAGACACATATACACACACATTTGTATATATATTGATTTTTTTAATGAGAAGTCATAAAATGAGTCATTAAATTTTTTTAACGAGAAGTCATTGAATAAGAAGTCAGCAGTAAAGGGAGAAAGGGTGTCCATTCGTTTGATCGCCTGTAGGAATTACTTAGCATCACTCAAAATTTCTAATTTTTGTTCAATATATAGTTTTAGCTATTTAAAATGTTATGTTAAGTTCCAAAGGAAGGGTAGAGGCATGATCATTGCACCAAAGAAATAGCTCCATGTACAAATGCATACAAGTTTTATAAATATTATCACAGACTTCTCAGCTTTCATCTCAGCTATCCCCACAGATACGGGTGACCTCAATCCAACCGGCTCTACATAGCCTACTGGGGATAGGATAAAAGGGAAGTAACAATGGCTCTAGAATCTTTCTAAAATTTTACTTATTTACTTGAGATTTAGCAGTTAACCACCAGTTTGAAGTTCCTATGATAATTTTTATTCAACTTGTTTGCAGCCTTAGTAGATAATTGTGTCTTTACTTCCATAATAATGAGGTTGGAATTTCCAGGTTTCAAATATTCAGAGAGGTGGCTGAGGTGGGCCTTTGAGTTGATTTCTAAGGAACTGATCTCTAATAGGAGAAATTCTCAGGATGCTGCTTCTCTCCAAAAAATTCCAGGAGAAGTTTCAGTTGTAATTATCACAGTCAACTTCAACCTGGCGTCAAGTTACAGAATGGCAAAATTTTAAAATCCTCAAAAAGTAATGAAGTATAGCTACATTATTTCATGTAGTAAGATCTCTAGAATATAACGTTGAGTAAAAGTTGTATGATATCATGTATGTATGACTTCATGTAGTTAAAAACAGTGAGAGAGAAAAACAGGCATATCTACATGTGAAGAGGGATCATTAAAAGTTTAATTATATCTAGGTCCAGGTTGTGGGGTTTCCAGCAATTTTTGGCTTTTTGGAGCATATCTTCCTACATTACTAGTTTTCTATGTGAGGGGTTTATAATTATAAAAACAAGCTATTTCTTTAAAAAAAAAAAAACAGACATATACACAACACAAAATAGAAACAAGTTTCCATGAACATTGAGTGCTTTATCTGATTCAGAAACTTAGAAAGATAAAAAAGAAGACCTGCTCAAGAGCCAGGTCTCCTGACTCCTGTTCAGTCTGACCTTCTTTTTCATGGCTTCTCTCTGTCTTTAAAATGATCTGAGTTGAGTGTAGGACCAGCCTTTGTGTGGTAAAGAGGCAGTTGCCCTGCTGTGGTCTGAGTGGCTCTGGCAAGACCAACCCTACCCCATAACCTGGCTCCATTAATCCTGACTACAAGTCGTCTATTTCTCAATCAGGTTAAACATCCAAACATCTGAGTGCAAATAACATCTGGGAAGAATATCACATTGAGAAATTATTACTTTTAGTAGCAAAAACTGCAATAACTTTTGCACCAACCTAATTATCTGCCATTTGAAATAGTGTACCCAGTTAGCTAGCCAGACAGGTAACAGACCACTAGAAACCAGGACACAACTCAAATGTGTTTGATATGCCTAGGCAGCCAGGGATTTCAGTCAGAGACCAAGGGTGCTCATGGGCTGCCAGGGAAGTAGAGACTTCTATGCAATACAACTGGCTCAGAAAGGAAAGAGGTTCACTTGGGAGGCAAAGTTATTTCATAAAGTGAACTGCAGATTGAGGAGGCCCCAGAGAAAAAATTACACATAGGCAGATTCTTATCACTTACATAAATCTAATGGAGCTTAAGCCATTAATTAGGTTTCTAAGTAATCTGTCTATGTGTCATGGTTACAATCATGGGCCCAAAACCTGAGCTACTCGGTACCTGCATAATGAAGGCCTCAACTATATACTAAGATTCTTCTCTGTAAGTTTCTATAGTTAAGTGGTTCATTATTTCCTGGAGTCTACTGAGAGTGTTTTAAAACTCTCAGAGCTTATCAGAATCCTCTATGGCAAGCTTGTCCAAACCGCAGCCTGCAAGCCATATGCGGCCCACGATGACTTTGAATGAGGCTTAACACAAATTTGTAAACTTTCTGAAACATCACAAGATTTTTTTTGCAATTTTTATTTTTTTCAGCTCATGAGCTATTGCTAGTGTTGGTGTATTTCATGTGTGGCCCAAGACAATTCTTCTTTTTCCAATGTGGCCCAGGGAAGCCAAAAGACTGGACACCCCTGCTCTATGGGGTTGATCTTCTATGTAAACTAACTCCTCTCTCTCTCTCTCTCTCTCTCTCTCTCTCTCTTCTATCTTATAGGCTGAGCCCTGGGTCAACTCTACTAAGCTACAACTCTTCCTTTCCTCTATCTTTCAACCCTTTCTCTTGGGTGCTCTCTGTAAACTGAAACAACTTGTGGTGCAGCCTGTTCTCAGTTCTTCTGAACAGAATTTCCCCTGAGGCCTCATCTCTGCCAGCTGATGCTATCAAGGTTGGCACACATGTCACATTACCCATTTCTGGCCTCACTGCCCTCTTATTAAGACAGTTATAAGAAAGTGGACACTGAAGTTCAGATTTACGTAACTTTTGCTGTGGAGAAACCAACCACATTTCTAGCCAAGTGCCACAGGAATCACTGTACCTCAATCAAACGGATTCCATAAACAAACCGATTTTGTTATGTGGCTAGTGTGTTCTGGCACCAAATGAGAACCACCAACCTGCTGAAACAACACTGGACTGGCGTCAAAAGAGCTCAATTTAATTTAAGGCTCAGCTACTGGTCCAAGGGTATGTGTAACTTTCTCTAGGCTTTTAGCTCCTATAGCTATAAATGACAGTAATTCCCATGCAATCTAATTTCTGAGGTTAACTTTTAGAGAATATTAGAAAACAAATGGAAAGAAATTTTTTTAAATGAAGAACTACATAAACATACCAGATTTAAGACTGTAACCATCTCAAAGCCAGAGCCCACCGTCCTGGGTGCTGGGAAATAATCCCTTTGGCACCCATATAAGGGGCCATATAAATGATAGAATTTAAACCACGCTGGAGTAAGTACTGAAGGAAAACCCCAAAGGGGCTTCTCAGTAGTCAGGCCAAAGTCTTTGAACATGGTCCTGACCCCTCTCCTTGGGCTTCAGACCTCAACTCCCACGACTTGGCTGCTAGCGTTCAGTAGGACAACCCCAATGTCCCAAGGCCAACGTGTTCAGAGGTTTATAAAGCCCCATAGGCAAGCACACGCCCTCCCTTTGTGCTTATACATTTAAATCACAGTTTCTCTAAATGAAGCACTCTATTTTTTCCTCCTTTTTCCAAAGCCCCAGGCACTTCCATAAGCACAGAAAGGATGTCCGTGCTATGGTCACAAGCAAAGGCAACAGTGCCTGCGATCTCGCCCAGTGGGAGGATGTTTGCACTCACTCATCGAGTTACCTTGGAGTCCGTCTTTCTCAGAGATGCTCCTGCATCCACCAGAAGCTGGCACACAGCCCGGTTCCGCTGGCAGGCAGCCTTGTGCAGTGCAGTCTCACCCCTAAATCAAAGAGGAAATGGGAAACCACCCATAAAGGGGTTGGAGGCAGCAGGGAATGGGGTGAGGGGAGCTGATGTCGGGGTGCTCCTCAGCCTCCTTCCCTATAGGCTGCTGAGATCTTGGCTGTAGGGTACATTCTGGGGAGGTGGGAAAGGGGATTTCTAAAAATTCCTTGAGCTAGTCATCACCTGATCATAATATCTGACTCCAGCCCCCTTTCCAAACAGTGCTGATTAACTAGGTTTAGTAATTTTTTAAAGAAGCTACTACCATTTGATTTAGGTGATCGTCAATGCAGTATTAAACAGACTAATTGTCTAGATGTATCTGAACACTGAAGACATTCTCTCTGTGCATACATTTGAGTAGAGTGAGAAAGGCACTGGGTGAAAGAACAGGGAGCAGCGTGGAGCGCCTCTGGCCCTTCAGGCACAGCACACGGCCTTTGGTTGATGGTCACTCGGCCTACAGTGGAGTATCTCCTGAGAACCCAAGTTCAAAACGCCAGGCCAACACCCACTCTGCTCTATCCACTTTAGATTCTGTGTGAGTGGCAGGTGGAAGGAGCGGGCAGCCACAGAGGATATCTGAGAGGCACAGTGAGACTCTGGGAGAGTTTGAGAGCCAGGGCTCTCCCCAGGAGGCAGCAGGCTTGAGGCCAGCCACTCAGTGTGGGAAGGGGCAAGGGAAACTGGCTATTTCCCCATCACTGACAGGCTCTATAGGGAGGAGGGTATTCCTATCCTGAGCCCAAAGGCACCAAGATGCTTAATGCCAAAGTATTTCAGGAAAAATCAATAGCAGCCTTTAGAAAAGGCAAAAAGGGGTAAGTAATGGCACCACTTACAATCTTGCAAATAGGATGTGCTGGCATGTGGACCAGCTCTGTAGAGTGATACACAGCTTCTTCCACAGCCCTACTGCTTTTCATTCGTCCTCCATTCTATTCATTTCTACTTCTCCTCCTTCCCACGTGCTTAGCTACTCACCACCTCATTCCTCTCCACACCAACTCATCTTTATACCTTTTCAAATATGGCTTTCAGGATTAGTTGTACAGCCTAACTTTGTTCCTATTAGGGGAGGAGTAACTATTTTGCTGCTTTAGAAATAAGGTTGAAAACAAACATTATCATCAGTTTAGACACCATCCCAGAGCTGATGACTTTTTCAATCAGCATCCCTTCTCTGAACCATAGAAGACAGAAGATAGAGTGACTATGTTCTTAGTTCTTCAGTGGTGGTTCATAACTTGTGCTGTTCTAGACTAACAGAGAGAAGTTATGTCACTACATGTGCATAATGCCTCAGGGCAGTAGGGTCCCATTTTCTCAGAAACTCCAGCTGAGAAAGAAGAAATGTGATGGGTACATTAAAAGGTAAGTGTAATTATTTAGACTTCTCAGCATTCCAAGAAGCACCAGTGCAGAAGTACATTGCTTGAAGCAAGCTCTAAATGATGATTAGCACTGACTCTGGAGGCAAGCATTATGACAATTGTCATCAGTTTCTATTGTGTAATTTTTTATTTAGGCAATTAGCCCTGCAGAGTTATGAACAAAGTTGAAAGTGGACTTTGAATTAATTAAATTAAAATTACCTACAATATGCCCTATAGATTACATTCTTCTCCCAGATATGTTCTGAAGAAAATAACCTAGACTATGTAATAAAAGGCAACACTCACGTTTCACTGTCTGCCATATCCAATAACTCGGAAGGTCCTAAATAAGAAGAAAGCAAGATGACCATCAAAAAATAAGCTCAAAAACTAAATATTAACAGAAAATCTATAGTCACAAAATGAAAATGCCTTAGAAGGCTAAATTTGGGGATAGGAATAATAAGACAAAAACAAAAATAAAAGGATCCCTCTACCTCCTCATTACCAAACTCCCAGTCTCCATGAACCAATATGTACAGAATGGTAGATACAAAAGAATGGTATGGTCTCTGCTGTCAAGAAGCTTTCAATCAAGTTTACGAAATAAAACTGGAATAGAATAACTGAAAAATAATTAAGTGGCTAACTAGGGAGAAAGGGGCAGATCAGGTGGGGTTTAGGAATCAGGGCCATTTCTCATTCTCAAACAAGTTGCTTGGGATGGCATCTTATGAAGCATAATATTAAGGCTGTACGACATTATATATATCATCTAGGGTACAATTCCACTTGTTAGAAAATTTCCCTTCTCAGACCAGAAAGAAATACTATGCATATACATCAAATGACTATAGATGCATCCTTAGGAATGGAAATATTCTGTGAATTTCCCTTTCACAATGTTTTATGTGTTCACGAATTAATCCATTCAGTCTACAAACGCTGCCTGGAATGTCCACCTTTCTAGCTCTGTACCACTGCTTCTCTCCCTGCCATCTCTTGCCCTCTTCAGCCTGTGGGTATCAGTTGAGACTTTTTTCCCCATAAAGCCCTTTACGATCCCACTTCAAACAGCTTATTAAACACCTGCCTATACAATCCCTCACTTTATGTACTGACCCTATTTCCTATAGTTGAATGGGTAATGGGATTTATCATACAAGTGGGGACCACCCCAGGCAAAGGGGGATATATGATCATGTTACTGATCATGACACTTAACAAACTACTTTAAAATAACCTACTGATTTATCTCTCCCTATAACTAGACTCCAGAAAACCCCTTAACGTTTTGGCCCATGCTTTGTCTAGCATTGTGTCATTCCTTGGTGCCTAGTATAGAGCCTGGAGATAAGTAGATGCTTAAATATCCCGTTGAATGGATGAATAAATATGCTTGTGTTAGGTATTGAGTATTTTAGTCTTTAGAAAGATGATCCTGGGGATTTGCTCTCTTTATTGGTGGATATCATTATTATTAAAAATTAACTTGTCGTGCCTAGTAAGAAGGGGTGGAAGAGCTTATCACTCTCACCATGAAAGTCATTGGCCAAGGACAATATAACAGTGATGTTATGGGATTTCATAATTCTCCTGGTCATCCAAATCATCTTGACCTCTTCTTTTTCATACCTGCTATTCACTGGGACCAGGTGAATCTTCTCTTACAAAGTCTCTCCTATTTGTCTTTTCTGTTTGTCCTATTTGACAAATAGACTTCCTAACAGGTATCTACCTGGAACATTATTAGCATGCAGAAGTAGTTACTAAGAAAGATAAGAAGGTCTTACATCATCTAGATTTCTAGGTTTCCAATACATCATATCTCCCGCTTACTTCCAAGTATTTAAACACTGGAGCTCACAGTCCTTCATCTGGAACTACATTTCCTCAATTTGTTCCCAGGGTTCCATTTTCTTTTTTCACAAAAGCTAAAGTGGTAACTGCACACTCAACCATGTATTTTTCAGGCTTTCTACCCAGAATAGCCACCTGTCTAAATCTGACATGTTCTTCAAAGGCTAGTCTGTGACAAGCTCCTCTCAAAAGATGACCTTTGACAGAGGGAATGTATTCTTTCTCTCAACTTCCAAAGCACTTATTTGGTTCTACCCTCATACTATGTATTCACTTTTTGAATACATGCCTTCCATAAAGAAATTTTTCTATATCTGTTGAATATAAGAACACCTCAGTTGTTTTTTGTATCCTTCTAGCACCTACCCTATATTAAGGAAACAACAAATATTTAACTCATGGCTCTTTGTTCCTTGGTCCTGTGATTCTAAGAAAAGATGAATAATGATCCTCATCCTCCCACACACATCCCAAAAGTGCAGAGCAGGACAGGACAGTGACCAGGGGTGAGGTTTCTCGAGCCATCCCTTCTTGGTTAAAAATCCCAGCTCTACTACAGACTAGGTCTTGGCCAAGTCTAATTAATCTCTCAGCCCTTGGTTATCACACATGTAAAGTCAAATTAATAATAATATTTATCTCACAGGGTTGTGAGAGTTCAAGAGGGCTGGGCATGGTGGCTCACACCTGTTATCCCAGCACTTTGGGACGCCAAGGTGGGTGGATCATTTGAGGTCAGGAGTTTGAGACCAGCCTGACCAACATGGTGAAACCCTGTCTCTACTGAAAATACAATAATTAGCCCGGCATGGTGGTGTGCGCCTGTAATCCTAGCTACTCAGGCTGAGGCAGGAGAATCGCTTGATCCCGGGAGGCGGAGATTGCAGTGAGCTGAGAATGCGCCACTGCACTCCCACCTGGGCAACATCTCAAAAAATAAAAAATAAAAAAAGAGAAGAGTCAATAAACATAGTGTGTTTGAAACAGTGCCTGGCACACCACAGGTACTGCTTCAACTTTAAATAGCATGAAGTGTCCTATTCTCTGTCCTGATACAGGTCACACTATGTCAAGATATGGGATCCTCAGTGAAGGAAGGTGGTATGAAAGGGTTGTTTTACTCCCACTTACATGTGAAGCCACTTGTTGACTCAAATTCTATGTCCTGAGCACTAAGCACCTCAGGCCTATTTAGCTGCCAAGAGGGCACTCTTTACAATGTCAGCAAGGGGCTTAAGTGCCCAATGGTCCTCTTAAAGAGTGCCTGTCACCTTCAGAGAACATTCTAAGCTGCTCCTCTTGAAAGAAATTCCATGAATATGAGCAGCCTAGACTCATCAGTAGCTCTGTTCCCATTGGTACTGCTAATTGCACAACTATTTAGGCAACAGAGGCCTCGTTTACTTTTCTCCTTCATTCAGCACTGTCATTCAGTGCTCTCAGAGCCTTGTCACGGTGAGTCCACAGTCATCCAGGGTCTAAGGCTCTATGCAAGTGAGGGGATCCTCAAGCATTTTAATTGGGCTAGCACAGCAATAATTTGACAATATGAAGGTGGGGACAAGGGAAAAAGCTGTCTGTTCTTCACAATTTGTGACCAGAATCACTACAAATGCAGCCAACCCAGAATTATTCCAGACCTGATTATCCAGTCTGTGAGTCAGGCATGCCCGCGGCTACCCATCACTCTCCCTCCCTCTGCACCCTTTCATCCTCTGCAGCTGACAGAGGTGAGAGGCAGAGGCACTAATACCAAGGTAAGAAACTTTTGCTCTTAATTAATATCTAAAAAAAAAAAAAAGAAAAAAAAAAAACAAAAAAACACGCCAATTAAAGATTTGGGGAATGGCTCTCAAATAATCAATTTAATTCACTTCATCTTTCCTTATTCTCCCATCAACATAGATGATCACAAAATAGCAGAACGTTTTGAACACTGGACAAGAAGAGACAAAAGTAGCAACCAGCTGACTACAGAAGGGAATGGGCAGCTATTTTTAACAGCACAGGTACGTTTTCTAATCATTCGTGGCCTCCTTTAAGATGGCTGTTTGCATAATGCTAGCAAGGAAAGACTTACAGAGAGTGGATGCCAGGAGAGGCCTAAGACAAGGCTGTTCTTCTCCTTATTTGAACCTGCACTGCCCAACGGTGAGCTATGCTTTAACTGGACAATGTGGAGTTTAACTGTACCCTGTGACTTTTAGTGTAGAAACAATAACACCTATGATTTTTGAAAAGTTAATTTGAGTCTCACTAATAAAGGAAAGGAGACGAAAGGAGAAAAACAAGAGAGAAAAAAAATAAAGACTAGTCAGGCATGGTGGTTCACGTCTGTAATCCCAGCACTTTGGGACGGCCAGGTGGGAGGACTGTTTGAGTCTAGGAATTCAAGACCAGCCTAGGTAACATAGCGAGACCGCAGCTCTAAAAAAAAAAGAAAAAAAAAAAATTAGCTGGGCGTGGTGGTACATGCCTGTAGTCCTAGCTGTTCCAGAGGCTAAGGAGGGAAGATTGCTTGAGCCCAGGAGATCAAAGTTACAGTGAGTCATGACTGGACCACTGCACTCCAACCTGGGTGACAGGGCGAGATCCTGTCTCAAAAAAATAAAAATAAAGACAACTGAATTCCTTCAATGTACATGAATGGGCAACATTTGAGTTTGGGGCTTGTTTTATATACACATACATTCTGATTGCGGACACTATGCCATCTCCCCTAAGGAATTTCAAGGGAGACCATCAAGTTGTCAGCAGAGAATTCACTGTTGTTTCCTCAATAGAAAAGGAAATCTCAGGTCCCCGTCTCTTCCAGGGTTTACTGAAATGTCCCCCCTTCATCCTTTGGCTGACCTGAATCAGAAAAAATACTGTAAAATCCCTTTTGAGGAGATATGGGTGCAGATTTCTCCATGAAAATTTCAGATGAAAATGGCCACTGCTCTTCCAGAACCCTAGACCAGTTGTCACCTGAACTCTGCTTATGACATTCACATGGCACTACCCTGCATTGTGGTTGTTTATCCATGTTTCATTTCCCTTGCTGGTATTAGGAATATGGAGGACACAAACCATCTCTCATGTATGGATGAATTTTGGCAAGTAACCTAACTTCACTATGCTTCAGTTTTCAACACTTGTCAAATGGAGATGAGAGCTTACTGTATAGGGTTGTAAAAATTAAATATGATAATGCATTTAGAACATTTAGAACAATAGAGGTTAACAGTGATTGTTACAGAAACTTTTTTTTCCTCACAAGTGCCTGGGACAGAATTAAAATGTTTTAATAAATGAATGAATAAAAGACATTTTAAAATCATTTTGGATCCCAGCCAATATCACTTTAAGAAAAAGATTCACAATTGAAACATGGATTCAAAAGACTGTGCTATATGGGAAATGGTCTGAAAATTAAGGGAAAGAAAATTCTGTTAAGTGGACATACACATCAGTATTCAGGAGACGCCCAGGGAATGCGAA